AAAAGTGGCAAAATGCCAAAAACATTTTTTTTTTCCAAAAATGCTCCGAATCACCCCAATTTTTTTTTGGGGAATCTCCTAGTCTTGCGCAAGAACATCCCTTTTTTTTTTTTTTTTTTTTTTTTTTTTAATGCCAAAAACCACTTATCCGGGATCCCGGACAACTCCCATACCGGACGGTTGGGGGAAATGTCCGGGAGAGACGTCCGGCCCCCAGACCATTGGTAACCTAGATTTATTGTTTATTATTAATTATTTATTATTTATTATTACGAATTATTATTTAATTATTACCGGGGATAGATTGGTGAAATTATCGATCTTGAAAGAGGAATGCATAATAAGCGCGAGTCATGAGCTCGCGCTGATTACATCCCTGCCCTTTTGTACACACCGTCATCGCTTCTATTGATCGAATGGTCCAGTAAAGTACTTGGATTGCGGTGATCTTAGCCGTTTGCCGTTGGGGGGGGGCGCTGTGAGAAGTTCATTGAACCTTACCATTTGGAGGAAAGGAGGGAGCAACCAGTACGGCTGAAGAGAATGAATGAATGACGGAAGGGAAGCACGCGTGGTAGTTGGGAAGAAAGAAAGGAAAGGTGGGGTAACTGGGTCGAAGAAGGCGGGATGGAGATGGATGATGTGAAGGAGTAGAAAAAGAAGAGCTGATAGAAGAGGAAGAAGGAGAAGGGAAAAGAAGTAGAAAAAGAAGGGGAAGGAAGAGAGGAAAGAGGAAGACGACTTATCTGGCTTTACGGTCGGTGATGGCATCACACGGTTGGGGCCGTCATCCGCCCGACTTGTTGGAGTACGCGTTTGTGCCTGTCGGGTGCCGCATGGCTTGATCGCGGTAAGCTGCACGTCGTGGTGGATCGTGTCACAGAGGCAGAAGACAGGTAAGTCTTCTACCCCGCGACAAACCTCTGGACTAATCTCATTAATAGGGGAGCAAAAACGATGAATCTACCACTTACACATGGAAAGTATGGACTACTACGCGTGTGTGTGGGGGTCCCAACCTTGCGACGGACCACGTGGTACTTTCATCGATCGAACGTACAAAATCTACCGTTAAATAGGGAAGTGTACACTACTACGAATGAGTGTATGTGTGTGTGTATGTGTGAGTATGTGTGTGTGTGAGTGTGTCTATGTGTGTGTGTGTGAATCACACAGCAGATCTGACGCCACTTCCATCGATCAGCAAAGCAAAATCGAATGAATCTACCACTACGTTATGAAACTATACACTACGGCACACTTACGTGCAAGTGCATGCGCGTTTGTATGTCTGTGTGTCAGAGAGAGAGAGAGAGAAAGAGAGAGAGAGAGAGAGAGAGAGAGAAAGAGAGAGAGAGAGAGAGAGAGAGAGAAAGAGAGAGAGAGAGAGAGAAAGATGGGTACACGCTGCATCTTTGTGTTGGGGATCGAGGTTGTGAGTCATACAGGAGACATACCTGGTGCTTGCGGCGAACGACATTGGCCGAGATCTGCTCGTACTTCGGGGGTTGTTGACGACATTGTAGTCTAGGCTAGATAGGATCTGCCATCAGTAGTCTGGGCGCCGAGCGCCAGACAGGATATCAACATTGGATCTTCCTTGATGATGATGACGAGACTACTCCGGCATTGTCAATTTTGTGCTTTTGGTATGGTCTCATTTGGTGAAACTGTGATGCGATTCTGCTTTTGGTTCGAGGTCACGACTATCTGGTCTCATGGGTATGATGTTGCTTGGTTTTTGGAAGTTCGCTATCGTTTCATTTATTATTATTATTATTATTATTATTATTATTATTATTATTATTATTATTATTATTATTATATTTATTATTGTTATTATTATTATATTATTACTACCATTATTATGATGTTTTAATCATAGTTATAATATTTATATATATATTTGTTGAAATATTAGGGAGGAGTCGGCGACATACCTGCTATCCACCCAACTTGTCCGAATGCAAGCTTATGCCCGTCGTGTCTCAAGTGTCGGACACAGTGACGAGTTGGGATGTACAGGCGCTGATGCGCCATAGCCTGTCGAAGCGAGTTGCATCTGAACTGTGTTCTCGGGTTCCATAGCTCTGAGCTTTGAGTGGGCGAGGTGCGTCAGGGTGAATCACCAGTTATTTGCATGTATGCGAAATTTAAAAGAAAACGAGTCTGATTATATTATTATTATTATTGTTATTTAGTATTATTATTATTATTWTTTTKTTATTAYTACTATTATTATTATTGTGTTTTAACACTAGCTATAATGTGTAGGGGGTGATGCRGATGATGCGGGTGATCTTCAGGGAAGGAKGCGAGRGTAGGATTATCAAGGTTTGATTGAGGGTGAGGAGATACGTACATGGCACATGATGAGAGGTCGGCTATTATGTTGAGAGTCATGTACATTGGTCTTCGAGAGTCGAAGTGAGCCTGTTCAGTGAACACACTTGTAGGTAGGATAGTAAGGAAGTGTAGGTTGGGGGCTGGGCGCCAGACAGGGAGCAACGACATTGGATACCGTGTAGGTGTGACAGAGGGCTTGAACTTTGGCTGTATTGCCCTTATTGGATGGAGTCTCGGTGCTTTTGTGCTCTGTGCCTGTACAGTACTACTTGAAAATCTGTGTGATTTCGCAATTTGGCTTTTTGTATATCGTTCCACTCATACTCGTCGCAGTAGAGTAATCAGTTCATACTGATTACGCCACTGCCCTTTGTACACACCACCTGTTGCTCCTACCGATTGAATGGTCCGGTGAAGTGTCTGGACCGCGGTAGTCTCGGGGGTTTGCTGTAAGGGGTGTTGTGAGAAGTTCATTGAACCTCATCATCTAAAAGAAAGGGAGGAAACATGCAGAGAGAGGGAGAAGGAGAAGTGGGAGAAAGAGAGCAGGGAGAAGAAGGAGAAAAAAAAAAACGATGAGAAAAAGGGAAGGAAGTAAAAAAAAAAAGAGCGAAAGACGAACAGACAGAAACACAAATAGACACACAGAGAAAGCAATAGACGAATAGACAAGTGAAAGGGGGAGAGAAGGATGATGATGATGGTGTTTGGACACATACCTGGTATTGGCAATGGTCTCCATAAATCTGCATTTTTTAGTACTTCGGTTCTGCTGCCGACGTCAGCCGTTGCATTGTCAATTCGTAGATTGGTGGTAATTGCGGGATGGTAGGTCGGGCGCTGAGCGCCAAGTAGGGAGAAGGGACAGGGCTGTTGTGCTGCTGGCGGCGAGAGCAAACTCTCGTTGGCATTGGTTATCAGTGTTACAGTTCTTCATTGGTGCTATATTGCTGCAATGCTGCTTTCTGGACACCGTGATACTGTCGAACTTTCAATGTGATTGTGCATTCTGGGTTTTGTCATCTCGCTTCTGTTAAATTTCCTTGTATTATTATTATTATTATTATTATTATTATTATTATTATAATGAACTCAAATTGGAAGGTACTCGTTAGACATCGTAGTACCAGTAGGCTCAGATCTGCACAATATCTCCAGCAACTGTAAGAGTGATATCTAATACATCTTCTCGTTACCAATAGACGAAGAGAGTGGAGGGAGAAAAGACAATGAGAGGGTGAGAGAGATAATCAATGACAATAAGGAGAGTAGCCCAATAAGTACCCACTTCTCCCTCCGGTTTTTCCTCGCCTCCTCGTCATCAAAACAACACCCAGGTAATGAGTTTGATGAGTCCTGATTATACAGAGAATACCACTTCAGCACTACAAACAGCGTGGCAATGCCACATCACCAATGCAGACAAGTGGCATGCGCCACATCATCATGTACACAGCGCGGCCGATGCCACGTCAACAGTAGAAACAGAATGGATGTGCCATAGCCGCTGTGTAGACAAGTGGTAGGTCACATCAACAACAGAAACAAGTGGCATACGCCACAACAACGTTGTACACAGCGTGGCCAATGCCACGTCAGCCGCCGAGACAGGCGGTGACGCCACAGCAGCCGAGACAAGTGGCCTGCACC